AGCTCCATAACACACTACATGAAAGGTAATATTTGAAAAACCATAATAGGTGCACTTTAAAGTCAAGTAAAAAGTGACTCTTCCTGGGAGTGTAACGCATAGTTATGTTATAAATGATACAACGGCCTTAAAAAAAAAAAAAAAAAAAAAAAACAGTTAAATATAGTGATAAACTGAAATGTTAGATTTTCTTGTGATGATGACTTTATTTGTCCATTACAGCGCTGACATTTGCATGGAATTGCCAACACAAACACACTGCTGCTTCTTTTCCCTACAGCCATGTTACACTGGGCTTCATCCTGCTGAGCCTCCCACATTGCTAAAGGTCTGCACCAGCCATGTCCTACTGACCTTAAAACACACTGATCAATACTACTGTCTCACACCACACACACACACACACACACACACACACACATTACACAAATTCCCCCAGGCTCTTTGTCTAGAAGAATGTACTAGATTTCTGACATTTAAATTACACGCAGGTGCCCAGGATGGAGGGATTGTAGGAAAGAGTGCTCTTTGCACTTCTGAGCTTTATATGAAAAGGCCATGTACTTGATTAAAGACTATTATCTGGATGCACTCGTGTACTTGGCAAAACAGATATCTGAACCTATAACAACTTGGGTTAATACTGTATCACACATAGAGCACAACTAATTTTATACATGTTAAATAACATCGTTTTTGCATAATAATTAAGGAATAAAACACAACAAGGTGTGCAGTTATTGGAAAATAATCAGTGATTGGGTGGCATGATGCAAAGCTTTATCAGATTCACCCTGAAGTCGAATAGAAAAGAATTGAATAGTGATAGAACTGTGCTTCAAGGATGCTCATAAAAAAAACGAAAAAAGCCATCTACGATTCCTCTACATTTAACCACCCCAGGTATGAAATGTGCATGCTTATTAATCCGTTTAATCCCATTTTATTGGCCATTTTTAATTTCCCCTATCTCCATTATTGAGATCTAGAGATTTTACATGTTGTACAGTGCAAACGTCTGAGAGCACGAGTGAAAATGCTTCTATTTCGCACTCTTTTCTAATTTAATACAACATTTCTCATTACACGTTATATATTACTGGCAACAACTTGAGTAAAAAGTAGAATCTTTGAATATTTACATGAATTTCAGAGTTTCTTAGCATTTTGTACGTCCCCCTTTTTTGTGTGCACTCGAGCTGGCATGGACTCTACACGTTCGTGCAAAACCTTATGATCCATTTTTAGACCAAATCCATCGTCTGAACACAAGCTTCAATCAGATAACACGATCAGTATCACAAATGTGCTTACATTTAAATAGGTACATAGACACAGTGTCTTGAATATTAAATATTCAAAACATTGAACATTTACTTTCTATGTATGAAATATTTCAATATTCTTAAACCTTTTGCCTTTTGTTTATTTCCAGTTTTAAATAAATAAACAAATAATCCCAGAGTTTCACTGTGGTCTCGGACCCCCACCGCACGTTAATTAGCATGTTATTTGAATATTTTTATTTAGAAACAGTCATGAAGCTATTTTATTTCCTAGGCCTACTGGTGTTGGTAACATGGCAAAATTGGCGGACAGTAAGTCGTGCCTCAAATAATTAAATGACAAATATTATCACTGCTCCTACTAACGTCTGGCATCCATCCAAAACGCACATCACACTTATCAACTGAATCACACCGATTAGGCTGTGACTAAACTAAAGGCTGTGACTTAACATATCTCCTCATCACCCCTTCAAACCACTTGTCTGAATTTGTCTACTGGGACTCCTGTGCTCTCACTAACACACACACACACACACACACACACACACACAGATATCACTGTTCCTGGTTGGATATAAACTCCACTGGATTTGTATTGTAAAGCCTGAGAAACTCCATGCAGAACACAACTCCTCCTCCTACACAACATGTCACGAAGTCTCGCTCCTGAAACCCAAAAACTAATCAGAGCACAAAAGGTACCTTCAAGCAAAGTTACAAATTTGAGAATATTAATTTTTCAAATGACCCAAACGTCATAAATGATTCAAATTTAGAACAAAACCCAAAATTATCAATATTAAAATGTACATTTTATTAAACATTCATGAGGGCCTTGATTGCTGCCTCGGCAGCGTTATCAAGAATGGAGGAAACATGTGACAAGGAAAAGCTCTTTGTGTGTGTGTTGGGGGGATGGCGGGGCGTTGTATTTGTGTGCAAGTTTGTTTAACAGTATAAAGAGACCGAGATAAACGTTTCTCAGCCTGTATAAGGAATTCAGATTAAAAGACGTAGACCTGACACACCGAGCTGATATTAAAGCACTAGCAGCAACTGAGGCTGACGGCCAACGTGGTCACCACCCCACAGCACGCAAAAGGGACATACCATTTTCATTTATGAATATGCCAATCATATGGGTTTCTTTTTTAATAAATAAGCCTTTAATTACTTATCCGACTCTCAGCAAGCTTTTCTTGCCGAGTTATGAGAAACATCAGGGATGTTATAAGTGGCCTGCTTTAAGATAATTTATCTTACATTTGTATTTTATTAGAAATGTGTATTTTGGTCGTTTTTACATCTCGAGTGCATTATAAATGAAGCTCAGTCCTCTCCTACATGATCGTGATTTGAGGATGGTGTGAGCTAAAAAAGTTTAGACAACACAATGGAGAGAGAGAGAAAGAGAGAGAGATAGACAGATAGTTATGTACAGTCATGTGAAAAATAAGTACACCCCATGGAAATTTTTAGGTTTTTTTTTTTTAACCAATTTGGACCAGCAAACATTAGATCCTCTTTGAAACAGTGACTATTAATAAAGTTGATACAATCGACACATTTTGTAGTAAATTCCAGGCATTTCTGCTATAGGAGGCAATACTAGCTTCTGAGGCCAAGGCTGTACTTACTTTATCCACAGAAGATCATCACATCCCTAACCCACCTAATTTCTGTTGATTAAATGACAGAAAAAGCTCATCTTCCTTGTGGTTTTGTTCAAGTAGATCAACTTTGTTAATAGGCACCGTTTCAAAGATGATGAAATGTTTGCTTGCCAAATTACGTCAAAAAAGCCAACAATTTCCATGGGGTGTACTTATTTTTTCACATGCTGTATACACACACACACAAAAAAAATATAATATATATATATATATATATAAAACCAATTCAATGTGGAAATAGTTTTTTTCCCCTTTGGCTAGCTTCATGCAAAGAAGATGTTGTATAAAGAGCTAGATTAAGACACACGGTGGTAAAACCCATCAGTCTGCATAAAGCGGAGTCTAAAACCTTGCTAGTTAAATGTGATTTCCTCACACAGTGAATGTCAAGCTTTGATCAAGTTGTTGTAGTCACGTGGCGTAGACAAACAGACATGAGCCTCATCAATTCAGTGTGTAATCAGATACCGGCTGACAAAATGTCTGCTCCTGCACCCGAGTTGGAAGAAAATCTTTAAATCCGATTTACTCCTTTTCACTTCTGAGCGGAAACAGAATTTCAAATGCTAGAACTTTACTTCTGGTTGAGACACACAGAAAAGAAAAACATATTTCAGTTCAGGAAGGCCTGTCAGCCAATCACGTAGCAGCAACGCAATGCCTAATACCATGCAGAGACAGGTGAAGAGCTTCGCTTAATGTTCACATCAAACATCAGAATGGGGAAAAAGTGTGATCTCAATGACTTTAACCATGGTGAGGTTGATGGTGCCCAGATGGGCTGGTTTGAGTAGTACAGAAACTGCTGCTCCTCTGGGATTTTCACACACAACAGTCTCTAGAGTTGTGTGTAGAATGGTGCGAAAAACAAAAAACCATTGACTGAGTGATAAAAGGTTCGGGGTGGAAACATCTTGTTGATAAGAGAGGTCAGAGATAAATGGCCAGATTGGTTTGAACTGCCAGGAAGGATATATTAACTCAAATAATCACTCTTTACCACTGTGGTGATCAGAAAAGCATCTCAGCATGCACAAAACATCAAACCATGAAGTGGATAAGCTACAACAGCAGAAGACAACATCAGGTTCCATTCCAATCAGCCAAGAAGAATAATCTGAGGCTATCATGGGGACAAACGAATAGAAAAAAAAAAAAAATCTGGCATTTTTCCAGTCTTCATCTGTCCAGTCTGGATGAGTCTGTGCTCATGATCGCCTCAGATTCTTGTTCTTGGATGACAGTAATGGAACCGGTTGTGGTCTTCTGCTGTTGTAGCTCATCCACCATCAGCCTGCAGACCCTCTGCTCATAGAATGGTTTTGTACCATTCTGTGTACACTCTAGAGATATTATCATTTACGGATATAGTGTTTCACACCGGTATGAATTGCTGAATTGAGATGTAGCCTGTAAAAATCCCCTATTTATGTTACTGTGAATCTGTTCAAATGCTCTGCGCTGCTATTTCAAAAAATAATAGCTTTATTTAAAAAAAGAGCTTCATTTGCAAAAAAATAAAGCTAGTTACAGCAGATAAGCAAACATTGAGAGGTGTTAAGCAGATAAGCAGATGAGAAGTGTGCTCTTCTGGGAGAATCGTTGATTGCTTCGCCTTCTTCTGTTTCTCTTCTCCTGCACTGGCTTGCTGATGTCTCCTGACTGAACAGCAAATCAGAGAACTCATTCTCCTTCTGGCCTCTGATGCTGATTTAAGATGCTAAGTCAGCTCAAATGGGCATCAAACAAGGGTGACCTAGTGCCAGCAGTGAAGCATACACTGCAAAAACGATATCCCAGTCAGCTCGGTGTGTCAGGATCCGGAGACTGACAGCGTTTCATGCAGATGGATTGTGAATGTGTGTCCTTACGAGAAATAAATATTTGGAAGCTGATTTCCTTTGGCTAACTTGCTTGCTAGGCGATTAAGATTAATCCTCCTTTCTCTCAAACCAAAGGTTAGGAAAGTCCTTAGCGTTATTTATTGAAACTGGGGGGAAAAAATATATATATAAATTCCGATGCTTAGTCAGAAGCAGGGGGCATGGTGGATTAGTGGTTAGCAGGTTTGCCTCATACCTACAGGGTTGGGGGTTCGATTCCTGCCTCCTCCATGTGTGTGCAGAGTTTGCATGTTCTCCCCGTGCTTCGGGGTTTCCTCTGGGTACTCCAGTTTCTTCCCCCAGTCCAAGAACATGCATTGTAGGCTGACTGCCATCTCCAAATTGTTCACAGTGAATGATTGTTCCCTGCACCCTGTCCAGGGTGTCACCCACACAGTGCCCTGGAATAGGCTCCTGGTTCCACTGTGCATAAGGAAAAGTTGCGCTCCCAAGAGCTTTTCTAATGGGTTTTTCACTGTCTAAATACATTACTGTAAAATGTATGTACACTTATATATACACACACATACGCACATATATATATATATATATATATATATATATATATATATATATATATAATTTTCAACATTGCCCTGTATATTTATTTTTGGTTTAAAAAACGTTTATTGCTCATTAATTGTTTTAGTATTTTTTTTTTTGAGGTTTTTTTTTTTTTACAAATTAATTAATGAATTATCTCTATCTTGTTCTTTTAATTACTTTGTCATTCTTATATAACCAGGATGTATATTAAATTGTATTAACAGCAGTGAGTTTTGCATCGGCTTTAAAAGAAAAAAGATAAATAAAGAAAGGAATACAGATAAGCAACAAGGAAACCAACCAACCGTACTCTCAGCCTGCAACACTACGACGAACAGAAACTAGGCACTCACAATTATGCAAATTACTGCCTAATATCTCTGTGCGTGCAGGCCTACGCATCCATATTCACCATGCCACAGTGTCGTTTCAGACAGCTCTAATGTCTGGAATCTTCCGTGTGGAGGCGACCTCTCTCATTTTCTCTACGTCGGAACAATGCTGACGCATTAGAGCAAACACCTCAGACGCTGAAAGGCACTAGACAGCTAGAGAGACAGAGAAGCTTGAAAGGACAGCTCACACACCCACACACTTTACAGGAAGTGAGCAAAAAAATAAATAAATACCTGGGAGAAATATCAGGAGAATGATAAATGTAATTACACAGACAACAATTTGAAACCCTGGTGCCCACATAAGTCATGTAACATGACTACTGTTTCACAGGAAATGACCCAACCCAACTGTGATCACCCATTTGTACTTGGAGACAGTTTTGTTCAATATGATTTGACCGTGAGGAGATCAGATTTGGATTATGCTAACATCACTCTGTGATTAAGGCCTTGAGAACCACCAAAATAATGATTATTAACAAGACATTATTATGTCTTAACAAGCACAGCGGCTTCCTACTTCTTATATTTTGACGTTTAAGTGCTTTCTACTAGTATCAGGTCCGAGTCCACCTTTGTTGAGTTCGACTCGTGACGAAGTCTTTAACCAATCGAGTGCAAGTCCAAATCCAGAGAGTAATTCAATTGAGAAAAGATTTGAAATTGCAATTGTAAACCCAACACTGAGCTGTTAAATTAATATTTGAAACTTCACAAACTAATGACAACCTAAATGTAAAAAAAAAAATACCACCATTACATCCATTGCCATTGCCATTTAATATTTTTTATTTCATGTCATCAGCACTGTAACTAGTTTCCTATAAAAAAATGGTTTCAAAGAAGAAGAAAAAAGGGATATAGAGGCATATCTAGAACTTTTAATATATTGCATGTGAATGAAAATACAATTGAACCTGTTTTGTTATTGTACTGTGTCCTCCAGTTCGAGTTGACATTTCAATTATTTGATGCCTCTCCCACACAGTTATATAGATTAGGAACGAGAGAGAGTACAGAGCAGAGCAACAACAAGCTTTGTGCGTTATTACTGCTACAGTACATTTCCCATTTCATGTGAAATTCAAGACTGGAATCACCGAATGCTGATGTTTAGGGGTGGGTGATTTCACCATAACGATACGTTTTCTCAGGTAGGTCTATTAGTAGTATAGTATGAAATACTAGCGAAATTGAATAAAGCGATTCGATGTAAAATAAAATAGTCTTCACTGTATGACTGGTCCCTGCGACCCTGAGAAAGGAGTAAGCGGTAGAACATGGATGGATGACTGGTAAAGTGATTTTTATTCAATTTTCTGAAGTTATTCAGTCAAATTCAGTTTTTCATTTATACATCTGAGCATTTGAGGGTTAAGGGCCTTGCTCAAGGGCCCAACAGTGGCGGCTTGGCAGTGCTGGATTGTTCTCTGCCCATTTTCTCTTTGTCTTTTGTTGTTTGATTAACATTAATGACACAGACAGCAGCAGGTTTATTATTAGACTGCTGTCCCTTTAAGGCCTAACGCACAGATCCAGTATACTGACACACATCGGATTTCTTACCCGACTGTTTACATTCACTTAAAACTGTGTTTGCATGAATTGTGTGTTTGACCTGCCAGACCTGCATATTGACATGAAGCGTGTATATATTTATTTGATTTGTCGAAGTGTAATAAGCCGCTAAAGAGAACTCGCAGGATGAGGCGGAATTCTGTGCACTTGCTTCAGGAGACGTTCAATAATTTCTTGTTATCTTAATCTTATGTATTCTTTTCATGTTACACGCGACACGGACTCGCCTGTACTCGAGTCCAAAATGTCACATTCTGGGCAGGTTCGAGTACGAATTTACCCTCATGCGTGACAAGTCCAAATACGTTCATATTCGGAGTCCGAGTCCGGCATCGCGTGCCCCAAATCTAATGATTTTGGTCTGGTTTTACAGGGAGATGACTGAAAAGACCGCTTCTTGGAGTGTCTTTCTTCTGAGGAAAAAGATTGAAACGTATTTTCCCCACATGATATACTGTAGCAGAATCTCTTCATGCATGCCAATTCAGATGGCATATATATTACCTGGAGTTATTTTCAACACTAGATTAAAAGGACTAACATTACCCCACCTTGTCATGTAAAACTAATCCAGTACGAAAAAGCCTTAAGCATGCCGACCATCAGAGACATGCTGTATAATTGAGTTGTCTAAAGTAAAGACGAAGCCTCAAAGCATAGACTGACTCAGAGTAGGATGGTCGAAGCATTGTGATCGTCATCCACCTCCAACACTTCTGAATATGACTATAGTGTGGGTGTAGCTCTGCAGCTTCATGTCTTGGTCAGGGTGTAAGTATCGATTAGTGTGTTGGCTAAAAATGCTTCTAGCAGCAAGGCTAACATCAGTCCTGACCTCTGAGATATAAAAGGGTTTTGATTAGGATGAAGAAACATGATCTGGCATCACACGATCCACTCAGATTCTGGATGGAGTATTGATTCGCAGCGATTGGCAGGGTAGAGAACAACTGCTGTATTAACGCTAAAGAGAACTCAAAACGACCGTTGTGTTTTGCACGACACTCCGAGTCTGGATTTGTCAAAAAGTCTGAAAGAGTAATAGAGTAGTGTGACATGCGCACACACACGTATACACAAAGAAGAGAGACATATTATTCGCTCTATCATGAACTGTAAATTGCAGCTAGAACCCATGCAAGGTTGATAATTTTACACAGCAAGGAGTATCTTCCCTCCATTATAGCGAGTATAACTATCAACTTCTCTCTCCACAAGTACGTGGGAAAGTCATTAATTCCGTAAGCCTGTGTGCTAACTCGCTCCAATCTCTGTGGCTCACCTGGCAGAAGACGGGTTTGTAGCGCTCAGAAAAGATGTGCGATAGCTCTTCAGAGCTGTCAAAGTCCACGGGCAGCCGCTCCACGCACAGACACTTGGAGTGGATGTGCTGGGCCGTGCTGAGCTGGTTGACGTCGCTCCACTGCACCATAAGCAAGCGGTCGCCCTGCACTTTACCCAGCAGCTCCAAGCGAGCCCTGGAGGCCGAGTCCTTCTTCATGTACTCCACAAAGCCGTAGCCCTTGGAGTGGCCCGTTAGCTCGCTGTAGACGAGGAAGCAGCGCTCGATGTTGCCGTAGGAGCGCACCAGTTCCTGGAACTGTGTGCCCGTGAACGTGTGAGGCAGGTTGGTGACGCACAGCAGCGAGTCGGTAGGCTGCAGCTGGACGCTGATGTCACGACCACGCACCGACGTCTGGTGCAGTGAACGGATGGCGTCCTGCGCCTGGTCGCCATTTAGGAGTGTTACAAAAGCTGGCAGGACACACACAAACACAGATAAACATCAATATACATATACAAAGACCAGGTCAAATGCAAAGACACTGAACAGGAATAATCACTGAAGGACATAAGAAGGATTGGGTAAAGTATACAAAAAAAAATACACGAGTTTAGTCGATTACGAAAAGACTTCAAACTTATTAACTCACAAAGCATGAAATAACACACTAATACGTTAACACCAAACAAGTATCACAAAGAAAAGCAGCTCGTGTGGCAGATGTCAGGGAAGTGTTCAGAGGGTTCCCCATGGCTCGCCACTGGGGTCTCTTTAAATTTTTAATTCTGTTTTACCTCTTAAAGGCTATTGACACCAGATGAGTCACGTCAAGACGTCACACGAATCTATTTTAACAAGCATTTCAATCCACATCTGCCATCGCAGAGGCACGTCTAATTTGAGCTGACCTTGTTTCTACTTTCTCTATATTGCTATAATAATTTTTTTCGCTTATGTATACTCCATAGAATTTAGAGCTGCAACGACGAATCGAAAATCATTGTCAACAAATCTCATTATCGATTAGTTGGTCTATGTGCGGTGCGTTTACTCACTACGACGTTACGAAAACACGCATCGGAGAGTAAATACTAAAGTTGTGTCCCAAATGACGTACTATACACTTACACTATGCACTGTGTAGTCTAAAGTCTAGTGTGTGGATTTTTGAAAGGTAATATCGTCTTGAATGGAACATTAGCGTTTTTTTACTGAACTTGCTAGTTGACAGCGCATGACATCATACGCAGGTAATGCAACAGCACAGACAATCACTTTCTTCACTTTACTGTTTATATACTTAGTTATATATTTAAATATATATATATATATTCATATATATATATTCATATATATATTATATATATATATATATATATATATATATATATATATATTTATATATATTCATTCTGTAGTAATAT